TCCTCCTCCTCCTCTTTCTCATCATCATCATCATCATCCTCCTCCTCCTCCTCCTCCTCATCATCATCATCACCATCATCATCATCATCATCATCATCATCATCATCGTCATCATCGTCATCATCGTCGTTATTGTTGTTGTTGTTGTTGTTGCTATTGTTATTGTTGCCACTCTTGTCACTATTGCTGCTGATAATATAGCGACTATTATCATAGCCACTTATATTAGGATCATTGTACATGTTACGGTGTTCCTATCATTAGTGCTGCCATTGTTATATTAATTTTTCTATCGTAGTTATGTTTTTAAAGTGCTTTTGCTATCACTATGAGATTATTATTGTTGTTACGATATTCCTCCTACAGACTTCAACATAAGTAGACAGACAGCCCTGATTTTTTAAAAAATCAGAAAACAAAAAGATAGCAAGGAATGTTTCAATTTTTTTTTGCTCTGAAAGTGTTAATGGGTTACCAATGGGTACTGCGAAGCTGCTTAAAGGGGCAAAACCACCACGTGCAGCACGGAAATCCTCGGGGAATTTTAGCCAAATTTGCAGTTTTTTAAAAATCGATTTACATCACGGACATTCCTCAGTTAAAATTTCTGGTGCACGTGATAAACGGACGTACGGTCTCGAACTGTGTTCGCTTTGGTGGCAATATAAGCCGCTGTTTGCGCAAAATCCAGTATCGCATCAACATGCCACCAAGTCGAAAGCTGAAAGACTTTGATCGTGCCACAGCTATGGCATGGTTGTGGGATGGAGTTGGAGCCCGGGAAGTTGCCAGAAGGCTTGCAGTGTCACATTCTGTCATTGTCCGCCTGAGGCAACGCCATCAAACCACTGGATCAGTTCAAGACCGCTCACGTGCAGGTCGACCCAAGAAGGCCGCTCAGAGTGTTTACAAGCGGTCCTTAACTTATGTTTTAAAGTCTGTACAACCGATAGCTACCCTTGGTCTCACGCGTTAGCCAATTTCAATAAGGTCGTGAGTCTTTTGGCTATGCAACTTTGTGAATATTGATAATACTTTCTGGCTGATAATGTTTTGGGGTAGGGTGTAGGAAGGCAATTTTCAAATATTTTAGTGGTATTTCTTCAGTTGATCTTCTTTTACCAATCTTCTTCTCATTTAAAAAATAAGTAATAAAAGTGTTCATATACAAGGCCTCTTGTTAGCTCAGTTGGTACCAGGTAGGGCTGGGTCAGAGGGTCTTAGTTTAAATCCCCAATTGGGAGTTGTCTTGAACAATGGTTGTTTGGGTAGTTTTCGAAGCTCTCCGCCTAACTGGCTCGGTCCTTTCAGATATGAACGTAAGTTCTTAGGGCAGCCTCTTAAGCAGCCTTGGAGCGTTGAAAAGGGGTTATATCCATGCCATAAAATATCTACCTTTTGTAACAGAGCTGGATATTTTCAGTGTTTTTCCACAAGCGCCAAAACCATTTTTAAAACTTTTTGAGGAAACAAAAGAGAAAGCGTGCCCAAATCAGAACCATCACTTTTGCGTTCGTTTTATTATTTTCTTTCAATCAACACTAGGAGGGAAATAACGTAACAGAAGGAAGACTTACTGTGAGATATCCCGTCATCTGTTTATTACAGGAACAACTTTGTCTGGAAGTCCCCAGAAATTGATTTGGGCGATTGTAGATGGGTGTTTTAGAGCTTTTTCTTTCTTTCACTCTTTCGTACTGCGGATGACGACTCATTTTTAAACTGGACGTTTAGTCCGTTTTCTTTCTTTCACTCTTTCATTTAGCAAATGACGATTCATTTTTTAAATGGGTGTCTTAGTCCTTTTTCTTTCTTTCACTCGCTTGTTTAGCAAATGACGGTTCAGTTCGAGAACGAGAAGAAAGACTTGGCGGCCACAATGCGCTCCAAGAAGGAGTACCGGAAGAAGACGATGACGTTGCGCTTACGTCAGAAGGAGCAGCAACAGACATCGGAGCTGGTGAAGAAACAGAGTCAGGTCATGCTGGAGATGTTGGTGAAGGAGCAGGAAGAGCTCAAGGCCGAGATCACTAGGGAGTTGGCGGTGGGTTCAAATCTCCATGTAGCTGTTTGTATGTTTGTCTCTTGGGTGTAATGTATAGTCTCAACTTCTTTACCCACCCCCCCTCCCCTCCCAAGACCTTTCTTGTTTCTGTCTGTCCTTTTCCTAATAATAGAAGTGTTGATAACAATCGATTTGATTCTTTTTATTCATTGAAATAAACATAAGAAGAGATAAACATAATTGTCCCACGAAGGAAACATCGGATGTATCATCAACATACAAATGTCAGCATCCACACAGGTTACATTCATGCCCAGTGGTACACGTACAACGATGCACAGCTCGCTCACATAAGCGTATCAAATTCTCTCTCTCTCTCTCTCTCTCTCT